CTACTTGTGGGCACTTTGTATGAATTCAGAATAAGAGGTTATCGATAATTCATAAAATTACTAGCTACAACAAATGGTTCAGTTTCCATAAATCTAAAAATGTCAGATGTTTCATGTTGCTGCCTTGCGGGGGATAAAAAATAAACAACGTTCCCAGGAGAAAGTTTTAGGAGTATTTTCATATTCGTGCAATATTACCATTTATCTGATGTGGCTGAATCTTTGAAGGACGACCGTAAAACAGAGCCGAGTTTAAACCCGTTCTGAGTCGCCACATACGGACGCACGGTCGAGACCCCTTGGCGTCAGTTTGTAACACACTGGGGATCCCCTCAGTAGCATCATAGTTAAGTGCTTAAGTAGGCGTAGTATATAAACAATCCGAGTCAGGAGGTGGATCGAAAACTGGACTTTCAACCAGGAGACCGGTGTTCGTTTTCGCATGTGAAACAAAAAGTCGACAGAAAGATCACGTAAGTAACCAGACTATGATCTTTGCCTGAACCCCGCCAAGTGGGTTTTGGTGCCTAAAACACCCTACACATGCAAAAGCGATGCCGAGGGGTCTTGACCAAGCGTCTATGTGTGACGAGTTGGGAACATAAACATACAGCCCTAATAATTAAATATCAGATAGAAACATTAGGGTTACAATGTTTTTACTTTCTAGATCCAAAATATTTAAAAACAGTGAAAATGCTCATTGCTCGATATTTCGGGGAGCTCGAAATTTTGATAAAGTCAGTCAAGAAGATTTACAGATTCCAAGCTGACTTCTGTGAGAAATAGTAATATTTTAAGAAAAAAGGGGGATTTTAAAAGAAAAACTCATTATGTAGGTAAAATTCACATTATCTGCTCTCATAAGTGGTTTTACTAATTAATTTATTAATGTTTTCCTTGTAAATTAATATACGAATCGCTTTATTCTTCTAAAATTAGATATTGAATAATCTGAGCAAAGTCGTGAGGTTTTCACAATAAAAAAAACCCCATCCTGTTAGTGTCCTTTGCATCTGAGTGAAATTTGTTTCTTAATACGAACAGATTTGGATTATATTTACAACAAACTGTTTCGGCATTGCATTATTTTTTTAAAAGACATTTATCAGAAGAAGAAGAATCATGTGGAAGGATTCTGGTGTCTCTGTGGTGTTAACTGATGAACACATGAATAATATCTGGTCTTTGGAGCCTCAGCTGGTCATTTCAATGAACAACAGGTGAAAGAAGAAACACCAAAGTAGCACACAGGCAGATTTAAGGCTTTAGGAGCACACTGAGGAAAACGTCGACATCAAACGGAAACAAACCACGTTCGTCTCTTCTGTCCACACGTGGATCCAGGCGGCTTCCCTTTAAAATCGCCTTCTCTTCTGTAGTTTTTCAAGTCACTTCCAGTTTGTGAGTCGCAGTTTTTAAACTAAAGCCAGTAAAAAGTCAAAGCTGGGTTACTGTGAATTTCTTATTTTTTTGTGTGTGTCTTAACTTAAAGGTGAGAAATCAACGAATCAACATAGAGCAGTTGATTTATCAAGATGTTGTGAGGCCGTTGCGTCCATCAAAGGAATCTGAAGCAAACAAACTAAAAAATAAGAACTAAATTAAAAATAAGAACTTCATTCGGGTTTGTCAGTTTTTTTTAATAACCAAACCAAGTCTGTATTTTATCAGTACTGAGTCTTTATGGGTCTAAATGTGATCAGAAATAGCCCCACGGCGGAGTCGCTGTACAAACGTGACCTGCCTGAAGATTCAAACATTAACTATAATCAGATCCTCAGTTTATGATACATTCTTAAAACTAACTTTTACATGACTATTTTCTTATTTTTCCCTTTTGTAAATCTCTTCGCTTCTTCCCGCCCCATAGTTTATTTTGGAAAACATGTACGGTAGTCAACGACGAGAAGCGGCTAATGCTTTTATCCTGTTTGAATTGTGTCCTGAACTTCACACGTGATGTTTGTCAGTTTAAAAGAAATTTAAATATAAGAAAGTCTTAGTTTGTTGTAAAACGGAAAAGATTAGTTAGTTTTGAAACCGCTCGATGAACTACCTCTCGTCTCGTGCAATATACATTGTAAGCTAACGTACTAGCTAGGTAAGTTAGCTGCGTTCTACGCACAGATTTTTCTCACTTGATGTGTTTTTCCAACGACTCCTGGTTCTTTCATCACGTCATCTACACATGGAAGCTCTTTAGCGTTAGCTTTAGTAATGTTAGCTTCAGTCACATTAGCTACAGTAATGTTAGCTACAGTGACTTTAGCTATAGTAATGTCAGCATCAGTGATTTTAGCATCAGTAACAGTTTCAGTGACATTAGCTTCTGTAACATTAGCTTCAGTCACGTTAGCTTCAGTGATGTTACCGTCAGGGATTTGTTGGTGATTTATTGTCAGTGAAGCTAATGATCAGTAACATTAGCTTCTGTCATGTTAGCTTCAGTGAAGTTAGCTTCTGTAACATTAGTTTCAGTCACATTAGCTACAGTAATGTTAGCTACAGTGACTTTAGCTATAGTAATGTCAGGATCAGTGATTTTAGCATCAGTAATAGTTTCAGTGATGTTAGCTTCTGTAACATTAGCATCGGTGATTGTAGCATCAGTAACATTAGCATCAGTAACATTAGCTTATGTCATTTTAGCTTCAGTACGTTAGCATCAGTCACATTAGCATCAGTGATTTTAGCATCAGTAACATTAGCTTCTGTCACGTTAGCTTCAGTACATTAGCATCGGTGATTTTAGCATCAGTAACATTAGCTTCTGTCACGTTAGCTTCAGTACATTAGCATCGGTGATTTTAGCATCAGTAACATTAGCTTCTGTCACGTTAGCATCAGTGATTGTAGCATCAGTAAGATTAGCATCGGTGATTTTAGCTTCTGTCACGTTAGTCTTATACTTCAACCGTTTTATGACAAACTGCGACTTTCTTGACTTTAAATTATCTTTTTGACAAACATCGTGTGTGTAGCTCAGGACACAAATCAAACGGGATCAAAACATTAGTTGTCTCTCGCCGTTGACTACTGAACATATTTTTTCCTAAATAAGGTCCTGTGGCGGTCCACCTGAAGGGCGGGGCTTACACTCATATAAAAGCACCCAGCTGGGACCGACTGATCAGAAGAGCCACAGAAACGTTGAAGCCAGTTGGAATATTTAAAGGGAAAAACCCAAAACTGTGATTTTACTTTCACAACATGAGAATAAAGTGGTTCTTTTATTTCTTGTAAAATTATGATTTTATTTTGATTTAAGTCATTTTTATATATTTTTTAATATATATTTTAATAAAAGTTTTACCAGATACATGTTGTTCTTGTTTAAGTAGTTGTCATATTCTACTTGTTGCTGTGAACTGGATTATGTTTCAGGTAGCTGAGCAAAAGAAAATGAATCTGCTGATCATCACAGAAAAACAGTAAAAAGTACCAAATAAGTGCTGGTTACAGGTTCTCGTGTGCTTCTTACTGTTGGTATTGGAGCACTGACAGAATAATCAGCATGAAGTCAAAGTTGTGATGAACACTGGTGACTTTCAGATACTTACGAGTCAATAAATGTGTTAACTGAGCGACTAGTAATCCATTTCCTGTTGTGAACGTGTCTGAATAAACACGGGGAGGGGATGCGACCCCCGCTTCGCCCGGTTATAGGAGGGAAGCTGTGCACATTTACCGTTTCCTCTCATACAAAAAAAAAAACGCCTCACGCCGTCTTGAGTGTAAATATTTTACAAAAAGAATAACTCCACGCGGTTCGTACGTGTCGAAAGCAGAACCTTCGGTCAAGGCGTCTCAGTGAGTAAAGCAGCAGGATATTTACAGGAACACGCACGTTCTCCACCTCCCTCACCTTCCGGTCAGAGTTCAGCCAAAGCCTTTTTTTTTTTTTTTTTTAACAATACTTTAAACATCATGTGATCCTGACGCCAGGCCCGTTTCTGTGGAGACGACCTCTTGGACCCAGCAGGGGACTGAAAGAGAGAAGAAGAAGAAGAGGCACTTCTCGGATGGCTGGTTGGTTTGTCGTCCCCTCTGACAGAGTCTCTCTGCGTTCGGGTCGTCTCCTCCGACTCGTCTTCAGGTGTTCGGTGGTCGCTCTGGCCACCGGGCGGCGCTGCTGTGGTCTCAGTGGCCTGATGCAGGAGGCACTTGGTAGTGACGCTCTGAGTCCAGCTCTGCTATGTCATCAGGATGGGCTTCTGCCGGACCTCCAGGATATCTGACGAAACGACCACAGTGAGTCTACGGCGAACCCGCTGACATTTAGTCCTTACAACTTACTACTTGCTACTAGGACTTAATTACTAGGTACTAGTAACTATTCCCGTTTTACTAGAACCTGCTGACTAGATCCTGGTAGTTATTTTTGGTTTTACTAGAAACTGCTGACTAGATTCTGGTAGTTATTTTTGGTTTTACTAGAACCTGCTGACTAGATCCTGGTAGTTATTTTTGGTTTTACTAGAACCTGCTGACTAGATCCTGGTAGTTATTTTTGGTTTTACTAGAAACTGTTGACTAGATCCTGGTAGTTATTTTTGGTTTTACTAGAAACTGTTGACTAGATCCTGGTAGTTATTTTTGGTTTTACTAGAAACTGCTGACTAGATCCTGGTAGTTATTTTTGGTTTTACTAGAAACTGCTGACTAGATCCTGGTTATTTTTGGTTTTACTAGAAACTGCTGACTAGATCCTGGTAGTTATTTTTGGTTTTACTAGAAACTGCTGACTAGATCCTGGTAGTTATTTTTGGTTTTACTAGAAACTGCTGACTAGATCCTGGTAGTTTTTTTGGTTTTACTAGAAACTGCTGACTAGATCCTGGTAGTTATTTTTGGTTTTACTAGAACCTGCTGACTAGCTACTGGTAGTTATTTTTGGTTTTACTAGAAACTGCTGACTAGATCCTGGTAGTTATTTTTGGTTTTACTAGAAACTGCTGACTAGATCCTGGTAGTTATTTTTGGTTTTACTAGAAACTGCTGACTAGATCCTGGTAGTTATTTTTGGTTTTACTAGAAACTGCTGACTAGATCCTGGTAGTTATTTTTGGTTTACTAGAAACTGTTGACTAGATCCTGGTAGTTATTTTTGGTTTTACTAGAAACTGCTGACTAGATCCTGGTAGTTATTTTGGTTTTACTAGAAACTGCTGACTAGATCCTGGTAGTTTTTTTGGTTTTACTAGAAACTGCTGACTAGATCCTGGTAGTTATTTTTGGTTTTACTAGAAACTGCTGACTAGCTACTGGTAGTTATTTTTGGTTTTACTAGAAACTGCTGACTAGATCCTGGTAGTTATTTTTGGTTTTACTAGAAACTGCTGACTAGATCCTGGTAGTTATTTTGGTTTTACTAGAAACTGCTGACTAGATCCTGGTAGTTATTTTTGGTTTTACTAGAAACTGCTGACTAGATCCTGGTAGTTATTTTTGGTTTTACTAGATCCTGGTAGTTATTTTTGGTTTTACTAGAAACTGCTGACTAGATCCTGGTAGTTATTTTTGGTTTTACTAGAAACTGCTGACTAGATCCTGGTAGTTATTTTTGGTTTTACTAGAAACTGCTAACTAGATCCTGGTAGTTATTTTTGGTTTTACTAGAAACTGCTAACTAGATCCTGGTAGTTATTTTTGGTTTTACTAGAACTGCTGACTAGATCCTGGTAGTTTTTTTGGTTTTACTAGATCCTGGTAGTTATTTTTGGTTTTACTAGAAACTGTTGACTAGATCCTGGTAGTTATTTTTGGTTTTACTAGAAACTGCTAACTAGATCCTGGTAGTTATTTTTGGTTTTACTAGAAACTGCTGACTAGATCCTGGTAGTTATTTTTGGTTTTACTAGATCCTGGTAGTTATTTTTGGTTTTACTAGAAACTGTTGACTAGATCCTGGTAGTTATTTTTGGTTTTACTAGAAACTGCTGACTAGATCCTGGTAGTTATTTTTGGTTTTACTAGAAACTGTTGACTAGATCCTGGTAGTTATTTTTGGTTTTACTAGAAACTGCTGACTAGCTACTGGTAGTTATTTTTGGTTTTACTAGAAACTGCTGACTAGATCCTGGTAGTTATTTTTGGTTTTACTAGAAACTGCTGACTAGATCCTGGTAGTTATTTTTGGTTTTACTAGAAACTGTTGACTAGATCCTGGTAGTTATTTTTGGTTTTACTAGAAACTGCTGACTAGCTACTGGTAGTTATTTTTGGTTTTACTAGAAACTGCTGACTAGATCCTGGTAGTTATTTTTGGTTTTACTAGAAACTGCTGACTAGATCCTGGTAGTTATTTTTGGTTTTACTAGAAACTGCTGACTAGATCCTGGTAGTTATTTTGGTTTTACTAGAAACTGCTGACTAGATCCTGGTAGTTATTTTTGGTTTTACTAGAAACTGCTGACTAGATCCTGGTAGTTATTTTGGTTTTACTAGAAACTGCTGACTAGATCCTGGTAGTTATTTTGGTTTTACTAGATCCTGGTAGTTATTTTTGGTTTTACTAGAAACTGCTGACTAGATCCTGGTAGTTATTTTGGTTTACTAGAAACTGCTGACTAGATCCTGGTAGTTATTTTTGGTTTTACTAGAAACTGCTAACTAGATCCTGGTAGTTATTTTTGGTTTTACTAGAAACTGCTAACTAGATCCTGGTAGTTTTTTTGGTTTTACTAGATCCTGGTAGTTATTTTTGGTTTTACTAGAAACTGCTGACTAGATCCTGGTAGTTATTTTGGTTTTACTAGAAACTGCTGACTAGATCCTGGTAGTTTTTTTGGTTTTACTAGAAACTGCTGACTAGATCCTGGTAGTTATTTTTGGTTTTACTAGAAACTGCTGACTAGATCCTGGTAGTTATTTTTGGTTTTACTAAAACTGCTGACTAGATCCTGGTAGTTATTTTTGGTTTTACTAGAAACTGCTGACTAGATCCTGGTAGTTTTTTGGTTTTACTAGAAACTAATTACATATTTTTGCCACTGAAATCTCCGGGGCTCTGCAGTTCAGATATTACGGTACTAGCAACTATTCCATCTAACTAGTATCTGTTAGTTGGAGACTAGTACCTGTAGTCACTACTAAATATTCAGTAAACTAGTAAATATTAGTAGGATATTACTAACATTTTCATTCTTACTGGTAAGTATTTTACTAGTAAAAGGCTTGTTGATAGTAACATTTTAATTCTTTCCAGTAAAAATGAAACAGATGATATCTAAACTGCAGAGCCCCGTAGATTTCAATTAGTTTATAACTAACGACTACCTAATCAATAGTTACTAGTAAAGCAGGAATAGTTACTGGTGACCAGAGGTGGGTAGAGTAGCCAAAAACAAGTACTCAAGTAGAAGTAAAGTAGTGATCAAAAAAGTTGTTGAGTACAAAAGTATTTACTAAAAAAATCACTTGAGTAGTGAGAAACTGAGTAAGTCAAGAAATAAAAAATAAAACAAGTCTCTTATTTCAGTCTGGTAGTACTGCGATAAGTAAAGCTTGTTTAAAAAGAAATTCTTTCCTTGTTGTCTATAATATTAAATTATGATTTAGGAGGAAAATCTGTGATGTTCCATAAATTATTGCTTATTAAATGCAGGTGTGTCTGTGTTTTTGTGTAATCTGTCATCAGGCTACGCCAAGATAAATACAGACGGCTTGAATATTTTCATTAAGGTAGAAAGCAGGACGACTTTTTAAGCATGATTTACTGTGTGTAGCCATTATTAAACATATTAGCATTAACACGTGTGACCTCTGACCTGAGGCGCTGCAGCGTGCGTGTGACCTCCGACCTGTGGCGTGTGACCTCTGACCTGAGGCGCTGCAGCGTGCGTGTGACCTCTGACCTGTGGCGTGTGACCTCTGACCTGAGGCGCTGCAGCGTGCGTGTGACCTCTGACCTGTGGTGTGTGACCTCTGACCTGAGGCGCTGCAGCGTGCGTGTGACCTCTGACCTGTGGTGTGTGACCTCTGACCTGAGGCGCTGCAGCGTGCGTGTGACCTCTGACCTGTGGTGTGTGACCTCTGACCTGAGGCGCTGCAGCGTGCGTGTGACCTCTGACCTGTGGCGTGTGACCTCTGACCTGAGGCGCTGCAGCGTGCGTGTGACCTCTGACCTGTGGCGTGTGACCTCTGACCTGAGGCGCTGCAGCGTGTGTGTGACCTCTGACCTGAGGCGCTGCAGCGTGCGTGTGACCTCTGACCTGTGGTGTGTGACCTCTGACCTGAGGCGCTGCAGCGTGCGTGTGACCTCTGACCTGTGGTGTGTGACCTCTGACCTGAGGCGCTGCAGCGTGCGTGTGACCTCTGACCTGTGGTGTGACCTCTGACCTGAGGCGCTGCAGCGTGCGTGTGACCTCTGACCTGTGGCGTGTGACCTCTGACCTGAGGCGCTGCAGCGTGCGTGTGACCTCTGACCTGTGGCGTGTGACCTCTGACCTGAGGCGCTGCAGCGTGCGTGTGACCTCTGACCTGTGGCGTGTGACCTCTGACCTGAGGCGCAGCAGCGTGCGTGTGACCTCTGACCTGTGGCGTGTGACCTCTGACCTGAGGCGCTGCAGCGTGCGTGTGACCTCTGACCTGTGGCGTGTGACCTCTGACCTGAGGCGCTGCAGCGTGCGTGTGACCTCTGACCTGTGGCGTGTGACCTCTGACCTGAGGCGCTGCAGCGTGCGTGTGACCTCTGACCTGTGGCGTGTGACCTCTGACCTGAGGCGCTGCAGCGTGCGTGTGACCTCTGACCTGTGGCGTGTGACCTCTGACCTGAGGCGCTGCAGCGTGCGTGTGACCTCTGACCTGTGGCGTGTGACCTCTGACCTGAGGCGCTGCAGCGTGCGTGTGACCTCTGACCTGTGGCGTGTGACCTCTGACCTGAGGCGCTGCAGCGTGCGTGTGACCTCTGACCTGTGGCGTGTGACCTCTGACCTGTGGTGATGCGGTGCAGCGGCAGCGTGACGTAGGTCAGGTGTGAGTAGAGCAGGAAGTAGTCATCCGTCCGGTTGAGTTTGAGCCAGGAGCCGACCAGCGAGCGTCCGGTCCCCGACAGAGAGCGGGAGCGGAGGTTGGTGGTGGTGTGAAGATCTGAAGCACAAAGCAGGTTCATCGTTAGCGCTGATGATTTAAGCCGACACAGTCCTGCTGAAATAAAACAGACGCTGAAGGAAAAACCGGGCCGGCCAGTTTGCGTCTCAGTTTATTTTTCACCTTCGTCGTCTTCCTCCCTGAAGAACTCCTCGCTGTCGTTGGCCGAGTGAGACTTCTTCATCTCTGCGTTTCGGTTTCGGGGAACTTTCCGCCTCAGCGATGGAGAGAAGAAGGAGGGGCGGTTCCTCTCGGGGGTCGGAGGTGTGCTGAAGGACGTCACCTGGAGGACGACACGTCGTCAACATACTGAGTCACGTTTCCACTTTATACCCAGCACGCCTCAGAGGCAGAGTGGAAGTGCATGTCTGACAGCTTCAGGTTACCCACGCATCTGCAGGCGTTAGTGAAAACCTGCAGGACTTCCTTTAGGTTCTGAGAAAACAAACTCCTCCCTGTGTCAGCTGGAAACAGGAAGCTGCAGATTAAACTAACCAACAGGATGTGAAGCAGAATAAATTCTGTCTCTGCAACTCCATTACAATTTTAAACCAAATCGAGGGAATTGTGAACCAGAAATGTAATCCGACGCTCCCGTACGCCAGAGCCGTTTTCCTGCCGCTGATTAATGTCAGCTGATGGAACTCCAGGGCTCACGAGGTTCTGGGAGGACGTTTTCAGTTTGCTCGGTGCTGTTTATAACAGACAACTGGTCCCTGACCGTCTCGCGGTGATACCGCTGTTTGGTATCCTAAAGGAACTACAGCTACATTTATTCATGACGCTTTTATCCAAAACGACCTACAGGCATGTGTCTTATCCACTGCGCCATCCCCACCCCTGTCAGCTTCCCTACAGTGACAGGTCTATATCCACTGGGCCACCGTGCCGCCCCCGGTCAGCGTATCGACACTTATAATTATATCAGTCAGCTTTTACTTTGAGAAGTTCTGAAATGTAAAATGCGGATCAAACGCCAGGACGCACACAGAGCAGCTCACGCTTTACTGTGAGCATGTGCAGAAGCGTCCTTCTAATCAGTTTGTTTCACGAGGGAGAAAAAAAGCATCTTAGCAGGATGTCGGGATCGATCATGAAACCCTCCCATCAGGAGTCTCGCGCTCTACCGGCTGAGCTAAGCGAGGATTTGAAACAACTTGACTTTGTTTCCGACCCGCCATGTTAACGACTTATGCGCCGACCCCTGGAAAGAGAAACACTGACAGCAACATTTTACTGCAACATGAGTACTTCTACTTTCGTACTTCATGTACATGCTGCTGATAATACGTATTGGAGTGTTTTCAGGATCTGAATACTTCTCCCAACACCAACGTGGCGGCCTGAGCAACAGAAACTTGTGTATTTGATGGACACGTGTTGCAGCTCAGGTGAACACGTGGCGTAAATTAAATGGATCAAACGTTTGGCACGTTCCCTTAAACGACGACTTCAATCGATTATAATAATAATCACATGATCATTTCAGCTCTGAACGATCAGGCCGGCGTGTTTCTCTGATCGATTTGATGTGTGAAACCGGAGAAACTGGATTTCGGTCAGTCAGCAGATGATTTGGTAAAAACAAAACTTCCTCCTGAGCTCTGAGGATCCATCTGGAGGACAGACTGTTAAAAGATGTATGATCCAGTCGGCCGCATCCATTATTGATCGTGACCTGATTTCACGTCTTTGTGCGGAGCGTGGTCGTGCTGCCCGCCGTCGCCTCTCGGGGTTTTCTGTTCTGTTGCTCGACAGCCGCAGACAAACAGGAAGTGAAACTGCTCCTCGGTTCTGCTGAAAACCTCCACCGCTTGTAAACTGACTGACGGGAAGTTTGTAAATTCAGGCTGCGAAACACCAGACGGAGTCTTTTAAAGTCTTTCTAATGAAGCCTGCAGGATAGAAGTTCATGCAGGCGGGTGGAACAGAAATATCCTGATAAAATGAGTTTCACCTCATTTGCACACAAAACGTCTTGGAAAGAACTTTGATCTGTTTTCAGATATTTATGTTCCACCTCGTCGCTCCACGCAAAGACATCTCTGCTGGTCTTCATTCGTCTCTAGCAGTGCTGGACAGGAGGACAGAAAGAGAGAAGGACAGAAAGAGAGAAGGACAGTAGGACAGTAAGAGAGTAGTACTGGACAGAAGGACAGAAAGACAGAAGGACAGTAAGAGAGAAAGACAGAAGGACAGTAGTACTGGACAGAAGGACAGTAAGAGAGAAGGACAGTAGGACAGTAGTACTGGACAGAAGGACAGTAAGAGAGAAGGACAGTAGTACTGGACAGAAGGACAGAAAGAGAGAAGGACAGAAACACAGAAGGACAGTACGAGAGAGACAGTAGGACAGTAAGAGAGAGACAGTAGGACAGTAGTACTGGACAGAAGGACAGTAGTACTGGACAGAAGGACAGTAAGAGAAGGACAGTAGTACTGGACAGAAGGACAGAAACACAGAAGGACAGTAAGAGAGAAGGACAGAAGGACAGTAGTACTGGACAGAAGGACAGTAAGAGAGAAGGACAGAAGGACAGTAAGAGAGAAGGACAGAAGGACAGTAGTACTGGACAGAAGGACAGAAACACAGAAGGACAGTAAGAGAGAAGGACAGTAACACAGAAGGACAGTACGAGAGAGACAGTACAGAAACACAGAAGGACAGTAAGAGAGAGACAGTAGGACAGTAAGAGAGAGACAGTAGGACAGTAGTACTGGACAGAAGGACAGAAACACAGAAGGAGAGTAAGAGAGAAAGACAGAAGGACAGTAGTACTGTAAGAGAGAAGGACAGAAGGACAGTAAGAGAGAAGGACAGTAGGACAGTAGTACTGGACAGTAGGACAGTAAGACAGAAGGACAGTAGTACAGTAAGACAGAAGGACAGTAGTACTGGACAGTAGGACAGTAAGACAGAAGGACAGTAGTACTGGACAGTAAGAGAGAAGGACAGAAGGACAGTAGTACTGGACAGTAGGACAGTAAGAGAGAAGGACAGAAGGACAGTAAGAGAGAAGGACAGAAGGACAGTAAGAGAGAAGGACAGAAGGACAGTAGTACTGGACAGTAGGACAGTAGTACTGGACAGTAGGACAGTAAGACAGAAGGACAGTAGTACTGGACAGTAGGACAGTAAGAGAGAAGGACAGTAGTACTGGACAGTAGGACAGTAAGAGAGAAGGACAGAAGGACAGTAGTACTGGACAGTAGGACAGTAAGAGAGAAGGACAGAAGGACAGTAGTGGACAGAAGGACAGAAACACAGAAGGACAGTACGAGAGAGACAGTAGGACAGTAGTACTGGACAGTAGGACAGTAAGAGAGAAGGACAGTAGGACAGTAGTACTGGACAGTAGTACAGTAAGACAGAAGGACAGTAGTACAGTAAGACAGAAGGACAGTAAGACAGAAGGACAGTAGGACAGTAAGAGAGAAGGACAGAAGGACAGTAGTACTGGACAGAAGGACAGAAACACAGAAGGACAGTAAGAGAGAAGGACAGAAACACAGAAGGACAGTACGAGAGAGACAGTACAGAAACACAGAAGGACAGTAGTACTGGACAGAAGGACAGTAAGAGAGAAGGACAGAAAGACAGTAGTACTGGACAGTAGTACAGTAAGACAGAAGGACAGTAGTACAGTAAGACAGAAGGACAGTAGTACTGGACAGTAGGACAGTAAGACAGAAGGACAGTAGTACTGGACAGTAGGACAGTAAGAGAGAAGGACAGAAGGACAGTAGTACTGGACAGTAGGACAGTAAGACAGAAGGACAGTAGGACAGTAAGACAGAAGGACAGTAGTACTGGACAGTAGGACAGTAAGACAGAAGGACAGTAGGACAGTAAGACAGAAGGACAGTAAGAGAGAAGGACAGAAGGACAGTACTGGACAGAAGGACAGAAACACAGAAGGACAGTACGAGAGAGACAGTAGGACAGTAGTACTGGACAGTAGTACAGTAAGACAGAAGGACAGTAGTACAGTAAGACAGAAGGACAGTAAGACAGAAGGACAGTAGGACAGTAAGAGAGAAGGACAGAAGTACTGGACAGAAGGACAGAAACACAGAAGGACAGTAAGAGAGAAGGACAGAAACACAGAAGGACAGTACGAGAGAGACAGTAGGACAGTAGTACTGGACAGAAGGACAGAAACACAGAAGGACAGTAAGAGAGAGACAGTACAGAAACACAGAAGGACAGTAGTACTGGACAGAAGGACAGTAAGAGAGAAGGACAGAAGGACAGTAGTACTGGACAGTAGGACAGAAACACAGAAGGACAGTAAGAGAGAAGGACAGAAGGACAGTAGTACTGGACAGAAGGACAGTAGTACTGGACAGTAGTACAGTAAGACAGAAGGACAGTAGTACTGGACAGTAGGACAGTAAGAGAGAAGGACAGTAGGACAGTAGTACTGGACAGTAGGACAGTAAGACAGAAGGACAGTAGTACTGGACAGTAGGACAGCAAGAGAGAAGGACAGAAGGACAGTAGTACTGGACAGAAGGACAGAAACACAGAAGGACAGTAAGAGAGAGACAGTACAGAAACACAGAAGGACAGTAGTACTGGACAGAAGGACAGTAAGAGAAGACAGGACAGTAAGAGAGAAGGACAGTAGGACAGTAAGAGAGAAGGACAGTAGGACAGTAAGAGAGAAGGACAGAAGGACAGCAGTACTGGACAGAAGGACAGTAAGAGAGAAGGACAGAAGGACAGCAGTACTGGACAGAAGGACAGTAGGACAGTAAGAGAGAAAGACAGAAGGACAGTAAGAGAGAAGGACAGTAGGACAGTAAGAGAGAAGGACAGAAGGACAGTAGGACAGGAGAAGACAATCTGCTGCATCAGTGGTTTTGGGTCAGCGCCCCCCCTCTATCCATCATCCAGGTCCTTTATTGCCCCCCATCAAAAAAAAGATGTTTTTCTGAATTTTTTTATTTTATTTATTTATTGTAGTTGTTGTTGTTGTTAAAAACACATAACTGAATGACAACATATTGATTCATTTCCCAGGTAACAAATGTTTCCCATGTGAAAATGTTATCATTATATTTAACTAATAAGTGAAGTGGGGGGTCTGAGGCTCCTCCCCCAGAGGAATCTGAGCATTAAACACTTCATTTCCTGCATTCTGCTGAAATGCTGCTCCAATTTATGGTGGAAATGTCTTTTTATATAACGGGACTCAAAGTATATAATAGAATCTAACGCAGTCAGGCTCTCAGGCTCTCAGGCATTCAGCTTGTTTCATTTCATGCGAAACTGACCGACACCTGTGACCAGACAGAAAGCTCACCTGTTAACCCCAACAGAGCAACAGGGCTTCAGGTTTTAGCGTTACACAGAATATCCCTGTTGTAAACGTGGAACCAGAAGACGTTCGCGGTGTGTTCCTCAGAGAAATAAACACTTTTCCACAGTAATACCAAGAAACACAGCGTTAAGTTTCCAAAAATAATAATAATAGTGGTCTAAAATAGACGGAGATCATTTGTGACACGCAGCTAAAGTGTGGACGAGGCCTGAGAATAACTTTAACAGGTCGGTTTAATAACTTGACTAAAGCTGGAAACAGGAGTGTAAAGAAAGTGGAAATAACAAAAGTTGTACTTGAGGTCTCGGGTTTCACGGTGTTTGTGCTCCTCACCCTCTCGTGCATGGGGGACACCTGGTCCTCCTCGGTGCCGCAGGGGGAGGTGTCGCCCGTCGGCACCCTGCTGACGGCCATCTCGGCGTGACCTTTGCCCTGCGGCCCCTTCATCCTCACAAACTCCATGTTGTTGTACTTGTAGAAGCCAAAAGACATCCGCTGGGCCATCTTAGCAGCGACGCTCACCTGCAGCACAAACAGTGTTAAATTTGGATTTAATCACCTCGACTCTCAAATATATTGTCCGTATTTCTAAGTAGCAGAAACTGTAGTTTCTATCCGTGTGTCCCTCCACGTGTCCCCCAGTGACACAGAAAGGGTCTAATTAGTACATCACACCAAAATCTTTCTTCTCCGGGAGCCGTTTGTTTCAACATCGAGCAAATAAATGAGCAGGACGCGTTTGGACTTTTCTTTTTTGTTTCTTCTGCCCCACCTTGTTCTGCTGTTGTAATAAAAAAACCTTTCATAAATAAAACAAACAATAAAAGTACTTGTCATCCACATGTTTGAGTCAAGCGAGATGGCGAACAGCATTTAGCTGACGGCTTCTCACCCGGTTGTCGTAGACCTTCTTGAGGGCCTCATAGCGGATCGAGCCCTGGAAGATGACGCCCTGGAAGGTGTTGCTCTTGTCGCTCGCCACCAGCTCCACGCACACCATCTCCCCCTCGCCCACCGTCATGTCACTGAACACCTGCACGAACACCACAAGAGGAATGATTTCCTTTACCGGCCTTGAACGAGGGCCTCTGCAGACTCGTGATAAAGTTCAGAGACAAACAGCCTGGGACCGTCGGGTTCAGCCGAGCGACTTTAAACACTTATTGACTTCCAGCAGAGGAAACTCTGATCTGGTGTTTTTCCCTCCAGTCGGCCAATAAAACGAGGTGTTAGTGCAGGAGCTTGTTTTTAAAAGCATCAGGTTTACGCTTCATTCACCTCCAATCAGCTGCTGCAGTTTTAAACAAATGTACTTTTTACACCCGATCAATACTTCAATAATCGCAGTAAACCATCCGACCCCTGAGCTGCTCCCAGTCCGTTTCACTCCTTCATGTTTACGAGCTCAATTTGATCTGAACTTACAGTATTATAGGGCGGCAACTAACGATTATTTTCATTATCGATTATTTTCTTGATTAGCTGTTAGGTTCAGAAAATTGTGAAAACTGTCGATCAGTGTTTCCCAAAGCTGAAGGTGACGTCCTCAAAGGTCTCGTTTTCTCCACAACCCAAATATATTCAGTTTACTGCCACCGAAGAGCAAAAGCAGCAGAAAATATTCACATTTACGAAGCTGGAATCAGAGAATTTAGACATTTTTTCTCAAAGCCATTAATTATCAAAATAATTTACAACTAATCGGTTAATGGACTAATTGTTGCAGCTCTGCAATAATACATCACAACTTGTTAGTTAGCAGCTGGATGATGAAGTGTCTCTGCCCTTTGAACAGCAGGGCAGTGCAGGTTTGAAAAACTCCAGTAACCGTCTTTCAGGCCAAATGCGAGGCGCGCGTTGGGGGCGGCGCCATTACATGCAAAGACGAGGAGAGACGAGATATCCCGGCGGAGATGCAAAGGCGCAAGTTGAAACTCAGGATTACTATTTCAAAAAGAGAAGATTACGGTTACTAATCCCAGTTACGCTGCTTTACTGCGTTACCACCATCCTTGACGTGCACGCGTGACGGTGCTGCAGGTCAGAGCGAGTTCAGGCTGAGAAGCCGGACCTGATGTTCACCTCAGCTAAATGAAGGACAGAAGGAGAGAGAGGCGTTCTTCCCACAGCTGGACGCATCACCGTCATTGTGTCACAGTCTGAGGTGTAAAGAACATGTCGTCCGTTGTCAACTTTGTTCGACCAGCAAAAATCTTTCAACCGCCAACAATTCTACACGTGATTTCCTGAAGCGCCTGAAGCAGCACAGCTGAAACTCCGAGACCTGCTTTATTTGTTTATTTCTGCCAGAGGCCTTAAGAAACTAAAATGATATCAGTTAGTCGGGAGAGACCTGCTTTATTTTTATTTATTTTTGCATCCTCTGGTCTGAGAGGCTGCATGTTTCCAGTTTGGCTGCTTGTCGACTCCTCAGGTTCATTATTGTTCCAGTGGATTCATCTCTAAACAGCGTGCGTGTGAAAGTAACATAAGTCATATTAGCCGAACTCTGCTCATTTCACAGGCTGCCGTGTGGCTCAGAAAGGGTTAAAGTCGGGAGAGAAACGTCACCTCCTCAAAGTTGTCGATCATGAAGAAGATGTTCGGGTAGCTCATCTTGGACTCCTCTCCTTTGCTGTCCATGGCGTGTTTGCTGGGAGATGCAAACACTTCCTGTGAAAAGGTCAGACAGACAGAACGGATGAAAGGTCGGCAGCTTCATTAACGTCCGCTCAGATAAACGCTGGCCCGGCTTCCTACCTGACATTTCTTCTTGTGGATGTGGATATCTCCTGCGTCTGAGCGCGTGCACACGGCACACGTCACCACGTAGTCCAGCTGCAAGAGAGCAGAGTTATTTCAGGTTACTGTTGGCGTCAGTGGACAAAGAATAATCACAAAATCTACCTGCCGTCAGACTGAAATACGGTAATTGTTTCCTGCTTCCTGTCCTTCTTTCTATCCTTGCGTGGGCGCTGACTGAACGCCACCTTGTTACTGCTTTGTTCAGTTTGCTTAGTGTCTTAAGTTAAAGTTAAACTGTGTTGTAAACAGAAAGTATTTTGCGTTGTCGCTGAGATTAAAACATTTTATTTTGGGCCAACCTTTGGGTCTCACTGCTCCCTTATCTCCTGCTACACTCATGAGCTGATGTTTTTCTTCTCCGTCACTGCTTTGTCAAATGTTTAAGTGTAAATGAAACCACAGTGCAGTAAAGTATTCATACAAATGTGTAGTAAAAAGTTGGTAGTACATACTGTAGTTATCTATCTGTGTGTCCCTCCATGTGTCCCCCAGTAAGACAGAAAAAGGCCTAATTAGTACATTTTACACAATCACACCGAAATCCTGACACAAGTTTCTTCTCCACGAGCAGTTTGGCCGAAAGACACGGACATCGACTGTTTTTCAACATCTTGCAAAGAAATAACCTGGAAATTTGTAACAAATATCCAAAATAAGTTGTTTTCTTTTTAATGACAAAGTATCTCAAACACAAATGGCCGTATTCTCCTGTAGATAATCAAAGTCCTCACGCACCACATGCTTCAAGTCTGTAAATCTCTAAAATTCATCAAATATAAAAAAAATCATCTGCATTAAAAAGATATTTTATGCTCATCAAAACTTGTGACCTGTAATATTCGGGTTTAATCTTTAATCATGATGAATTATAGTGCAGTACAGTTCAGACTGCGGTGTTTTTGTTCAGACCTGATGTGTTTCTAACAGTGTGAACAATATATTAACTCTTCTGTTCATTTTGTGGAGCGACGCGCTTCAAACAGCTGTAGAATGACCATGTTTCATTGGCCAGTTGCCCTGTCACGTGTGAGCGTGAGCACACGGGTCCAGTACACAAAAATTCACCTTGGAGCACGCCACGTGATGCATGTGCGTACTTTGAGAGAGAGAGAAACTAAAAGAAAAGAACGGACAGAAAAGCAATATCGTGCAACCCTAAAGTGAACAAGAATCTCAGCTCAGATTTGGGATCCACCAGATGCAGCCTGGAATTTTAAAAAAATATGCGACCTCAGTGTGGACGGTCAGATCGGGATGTCACGATAACAGATACTTCTGTAATAATGAAGGTGCTTGTTTTTCTAGGTACCAAAGTTAACGGGGACGCAAAACGCGGAAGATGGTGACAAGTGCAGCTGCAGCTCCGCGGCGACTCATCGAAAAGACAAACAGTAAGAGTCGTGTGTGGAGAAACTTACGGGGACTTTAGTCAGAGACCGCTGGCGTTTACAGGTACACGTTTACAGCCAAGCTCGGAGTTGGCTGCCATCCCTCACTGTACCGTCTGTGTCATCTGTCATTTCTGGACTGATGGTGTCACCACGTCAGGACATTTAAAGGCTGAGCAGACGTGTGTGTGACCTCTGCTGCTGTTTTACAGTCACTGAGCTGATCATTTAGTAAAGCAGCGTGTGTTGAAGTACTCTGGATTTATTATGTAGCTTTAACAACTACTAAATTTCTGGTATCGTGACGTCCCTGCTTAACTCTAGAGCGAGTTCGGGCGGAAACAGTAGAGAGAGAGCTGTAAGGCCGTACGGCGCAGGAAACTGTAATGAAGACGATGAAAAGGACAAAGTTGTGAAGATTTGTCAGAAGCCGGAAAGCGGTAGAGGGCGATGAAACTAGCAGGAGCTAACCTCTGAGGCCTCCACGTTTACCTCCGTACGCCAGCGTACTGTTCTCAGAGAAATCTGATGTGGGCAGTCACGCCTCGCATGATGAGTGTGACATGAAAGTGTTTTTGTGCGTCTGAAGCTGAAGTCGTGTCCATCGCCACCACTGTGAGCGGGACAGTGTTTGCGGTAGTTTTCACCTTCTGCAGGATGAGGTTCAGGTAGACGCTCTCCTCCCAGTCGATGTCCGGGTCTCCGAGGCCCGGCAGCTTCTTGGAGTCTCTCCTGTAGACCTCCACCTCCACCTGAAACAGAGCCGACACGGCGGATCAGAACAGCTACTGATGACGTTACAACACACAACGTATATCTGACAGCGAGTTTATGAGAGCGGGTCGATCCGGGAGCGGAGGAACCGGAGTAACGTCAGTTTGACGTCAAAAGGAGATCCGAGACTCTGAGCTGCAGCAGGTGGATCGGACTTCAGCTGAACCCGTTAACGCGATAAGGATCCATCGTTACCGATTTCTCCTGTATGAAACATGCAGAGCCTTTGTGTGGTTTCGCCAATTTATTCACAATTAAAAAATGAAATCGAGCTCAGGTGCATCCTGTTCGCTCTCATTTTCTTTGACATTTCCCAAAGATCCTGATTCAGTTCATTTTAATTAATTCAATTGATCAGGCAGGATTTTAAAAAGGCACACAGCTGTTTGTGTGACTGGACACGTCGCTGCTGGTTTATGTCATACCGGAGTTACAGAGCCCAGAGTGACTCCTTCACTACGCAACAGTACAAAGTTCAACATTATTACAAATGGTAGCCAGTTAATCTCTCTGTCAGCTGAACTTTATAACTGCTGGAGTTCATTTATAACTAAACATGATATTTTATAAACTCTTCATGTGTTTTGTGGGAAGAAGCTGAAGCTGTCAGATAAATTTAGTGAAGTAAAAAGAACAACATCTCCCTCTCAGATGAAGCAGAAGGAGAAAGAGGCGTGAAAAGAAAATACTCAAGTAAAGTAGCTCAAATTTTAAGTACAGTACTTGAGTAAATGCACTTAATTACTGCAGCGCAGCAACATGTGGATGGAAGAAGCCACTGTGACGTTTGAACAGATACGCTCAGATTTATCAAACCTAATTCATCTTCTCTGGTGTCTGTCGTTCAGAGGGTGGCGGTTTATCCCAAGTCCATGTGAGGAGAATCAATCTGCGGCTTCGGCTCTTTCCTGCACGCTGCGATGTTACAGCCGTCTGAGACGTTGGGCCGTACAGTCGTGTCACATCTGGCGTCAGATATTGAGCTCCAATAATCAACCAGAGAGCGACATGACCAGAACATGTGGCCCAGTGAGACCAGGTCACTGCACCAATTCAATTCAGCTTCATCAGCATGAATGTAAAACAACAATATTGACAAAGCTATAAATAAATCACAAAAGAACAATTCCTTTCATACAGTTCATTAAATAAAGTAAATAAAATACAGTAAAAGTGTCTGTGTGTCTTAAAAAACATATATATATATATATATATATATATATATATATATATATATATATATATATATATATATATATATATATATATATATATATATATATATATATAAATAAAAAGTGTTAAAAAATGTGAATAAAATATTAAAAATGTAAATAAAATAAATAAAACAACGTGTGTATATTAAGACAAATAAATATGTATTATAAAACAATGACTAAAAAAAATCTAAATGTGAAATTTAAAAAACAACAAAGGAATTATAAAGAAAATAATATTAATTTGGACAGTGGCTTCGACAGATATCACAGGGTAAAAACAAAGTGTAGCGCAGTATCATGTGGATCTTTCTCACCTCTGCTGTCGTCTCATGAGGCAGATGTTTAACGTGCTGAAGGCAAAATGGAGAACAATGTCAACTTGGGCGGGACGGCGTGACCACGGAGAAAATACCTCAAAGACGTCTCCCTCTCAGGAAACATCTATTTTTCTGCTTTTTTTTGCAGAGTCAGCAGCTTCTTTTCTGTTTCTGTTCCCTTTCTGTAACATGAAGCAGCGTTTTCTTCTTCTCGCAGCAGAAAACAACCTCTGAACGAGCGAGGGCACCAAACAGAATCCGATGCTTATTAAAACGTGAAAAAACGAGAATGTAAATGTTTTGTATTTGTGTGCGTTTTACTGTTTTGAGTGTGAAGGGGGATTTCCTTCCCAGTGTAAACATCCCTGCGCTCTAAATGGCTGGTGAGCGAAATGAATCCTGGCGTGTGGAGGATTCTCCCCGCAGACACGAACCTCTACCTGGTGTGTTTAGAGAGAGACGAGGCGGAGAGGGGGAGGCCGGGACTGTGGCTGATGATCGGGAGAATCACTAAATAATGAATAAGAGACCGAGCCGCGAACGTGACTGACCAACAGGAGAAAGGAAGAAGGAAGTGAAGAAAAGAAACATCCTGAGCAGTTGATTCAGGCTCCTGCTCTTTCCTGACCGTCATTCTCCAGGACTTTTCCAGGACTTTTCCAGGACTTTTCCAGTGATGATCCAGCCGGTATGACAGGGATCAGGTCAAACACGTTCCTCTCTGCAGAAATCTCATCTGTGGAATCATCTTGTTTCATTATTATTTTTTAGAAAGCTTTTTGTGTTCTCTGCTCTGCAAGTCCTTTTTGTCTCCTAACAAATCCCAGCGTTCTCCTGAACTTTAGTTTCCTAAAATCTCTGTAACGGGACAAAGAGTTCTGTCTGATGCAGTTCATTGTTCTGAACCCGGCTTCACTCTTATCCAACTTTCTCCACAACACCCAACACATGAGAAGGACGACGAAGACGAGGAGGAGGAGGAGGAGAGGGCTTAGTGCACCACATCTGTGTGTTGATTTGAGATACTATGCTGCTGAATTGTACGTAAATAAGTACACAGTGTACACAGTGTACTGCATGTTAGTGTACTAACACAAGTATCCGAATAGAGAAACACAGCTTCAGTTTTGTCTCTACTCAAGTAATTTTTCCTCCTTTTTTAGCTTTAGCTGCAGCGTTCGGTCCTCTCCTCATCTGTCCTGCTGTGACCTTTAACCTTTCTGTGGGCTCATGGGAAATGGTGTTCACTAAAGGCCTCCAGAAATACTGAATAAACAACGTTATTTATGGCTTTTAAAAGACTCCCTCTGGGCGTTTGGAGTGAAGCACACACTGTTTGATGAGCCAGATATTCAGTTCTGTGTTTTACTACAAAGTGATTCTGGACGCGGTTTTTGTGGAACAGAAACGCTTCCTGTTTCACTTCAGCTCGCTGCGGCGGCCTCGTCTGAGCCTGAATCCTCCAACAGCAGAGTCACTTCAGTCCGGTCCGTCTGACGTGTCCGGGCTGCAGCCGGCTGCTGATGGACGAGGAGGCGGCGGCGGCACAATGACGTGTAACCATGGAAACCAGGGACAGACGGGGGACATGGGACAAACTACAAAAAGGCAGACGCAGAGTCTGTCCGGGCCAAATGTAATAAAAACGAGATGAAAGGGAGAAACAGAAGCTCGACTGCAGTAACTCTGCAGTACATTATATACACACACACACTTCAGTAAATACTGCACAGTATATAATGTACATGCATATTATACAGTATATATAAATAACTTACATTTGTACTTTATCTGTTTAAAGGATGTTGATCTGTAAGTTTTAAAGAAAAGTTTTTAAGGTTTTTTAAAATGTAACAGAAACTTTGTTGTTTTCACACATTTCTTTTCTTTGTTGTTAATTTAAAGTACAATTCAGGTAACAACATCAAAGGTTTATAAAGATTAATTAAATAAAAACATTTTATTTTATCAATTATCTCTTTGTTTCCTTTTATTTGTCTCTCTCTTCTTCCTCACTTTCTTAATCAATATATTCATTCTCATAACTTGTCCCAGCAGAGAGTTTTTACATTTAGTTCTTCTGCTGTAAAGACAGTTGGATTCTGAAACAGCTGAAAGCTGCGACTGAAGGGAAAATTGAAAGTGGCTGTGCGTTCGTCTCCTACACAGTTTCTACATTTGAATCGTCTCGTCGAGAACAAAAGCTTCGCACTGATGTAGAAAACAGGACCCGAGAAGAAACCCTTTGGATAAAAACCACCAGCAGCTTCCCGTTTTATTACAACGAGGCACACTTCAGTTTTTGGGGACGCCTTCCTTTTATGTTTCCTGTAATAAACATCAGTGTCCAGTTTATTAGGAACACCAGCTAAAACTAATCTAACAGTTCTCCTCCCTGTATGTTCTCATGTTCAGTTTGTCATCGGTTTCACAGGTGTTTCTGTTATCCAGCCTGTTCTCACTGATATAAATGGGGTGGACAAAATAGCAGAAACAGCTCTCAGTCTGATCTGTACTCTGCTTCAACTGACTTCTTACAATTCTTATGAGGTTTTTGCTCATGTTTTAATGAAAGTGAATGTTCACCACTTCAAGGTCAACAAGGACAAAGCAGATAATGTCTAAAGCAGGATCTGAGCCGAGGAGATCAATACCGTCTCCGTCCTGTTCTCAGATTTAAAGCCTCAGCAGACACGTGCAGCCGGCCGAGTCGTGAAGGCGCATAAATCAGACGTTCAGTGAGAGCGCATGGACGCCGACATCACGTGATCCGAACATGAGCTTAATTTTAGTCTCAGGTGGCGTCTTCAAATTGCTTGTTTTGAAAACCCAGAGATTCAATTTAAAATGAACCCTTGATGATGATGACGGGGACCTCGGATAAATATGTTCCTGTTGTTTTTACACACAGCTGTTGAATTACACATACATGTTGTATTTAAAGTTGTTGTGTTGTGATGATTGTCTAACTGACGACCTGAAATTTAGCATTTTATTATTATTATTTTTTTTTTTTTTTTCAGTCAGTATTTTACAGTCTTGTATTTACGTTTGTCCTCTACGTCTTGCTGCAAAACCAACTGCCCTCCAGGGACAAATAAAGTTTATAAAGGTTGAGAAACCCTTGAATAAATCACTGCACGTCACCTTTTTGCCCTCGGTGTTTTCTGCACTGACGTAGGCGAGCTTCCTGCGGACGTAGAACAGCATGTCGTCCTGTTGAGGAGCCCTCTTCTCCATGAAATACGTGGAGAACATCCACGTCCAAAACACGATGCGGTCATCCTTAAAGCAGCCTGCAGAAACACAGACACAAAACAGGTGAATATACACAGTTAAAGAACCCTGCAGCTGCGTATTTCACATCTCAGTTAAACATTTGCTCCGATGTTTTGGACATTTGAGGCGCCGGCTCCCGATCAGGAAAACAAGTCCGATACCAAAAAGTGATCATCGGCTAAAAACTGACTGTTGTCCACTTTAAAGATATTTAAACTGCTAAAAAAGGAGGATTAGTTATAATACAGGATAGAGAGCAGATCGAGACTACAGTCCTGCCTATAATCACATAAATGTCCTGATTTTGCTATAAAAACACTTTCTTTTGGTTTACGGAACGCTTTAAAAGGAAGGAAAGGAGGAAAGAATAAAAAATGAGTACATATAAAAACATAAAAACACACACAAAGACACAGATAATCAATATAAAACACTTCCTCACTCTGGGTTTGTTATTCAGATGCCAGACGGTTTTATTCCAGGTTATTAATTCTTCCTTCTCTTCTGGCTTTTCCCAAATCAAAAAGTAATCTCTAATTATGGCTCTCTCCCCTTTTATTTTGAAAAATTATCAGCCACCCTAAAGAAAAAGGAAACGGCGCCGCAGTCGCTCTGATGGAGCGTGACCACCTGCCCTCCATCACCTCGGGGGTGCTCTGCTACCTTTCTACGGGCCGAGGCACCTGCCTGCCGCCTGGCAACTGTTGCCAGGCAACCAGGCAGAGGATGATCTGGCATTAAGTTGAATTTCCTGTAAGAGCACAGACCCCCCCCCCCCCCCACCTTAAAACCACACATAGCATTCAAACAGATTTCAAATGTATTCTGTTGGTTTCATTTTTCCCTCTTTTATAAAACTGAAACATTATTAGGAAAATATTTATATTAGTAATTATTATAATAATAAGAACATAATTTAATTTTCATAATGATATTTTATCCTCACATTTATATAAAGATCACGTTCTCTTGATTCTGTTTCTAGAAAAAGGAGTTTATTGTCTTTATTTTGCCTTTAGTCCCAGGAACTACTTCTTAGGAACTAAAAGGTTCCTTCAGTCCGTTGTTGACCTGCGAAGATCAGGCAAATCAGTGCACCGACGTATACGCCTTACAATACGACAGACAGGCGTCATTATTTAGTCACCACCCATGAGCAAAATGTTTATATGAACATCAGACTTGATTGGAATATAATAAAAAACAAAAAAAAAGTCTTAATCACCGCCCCCCCAAAGCTCCAGTACTTTTGGAAAGTAACAACCCCTCATGTTGTAGTACGCCTCGGGATCGGTCTATTCAATGGTCTTGCTCTTGTCTCGGTCATTGAGGACTCAGGATTTTATTCCAAGACCAATAACCTTAATTAAAAATGTGTTGTTCCCGTTAACGACTGTCCCTCCCCGCGATGGTAACCACGGAAAAGGCGTGTTGAATAAAGACGCTTACGTTGATTTCAGCTCTTACTGTTTGTATGTGGGTGTTTTAATGGGAATGTGGATCTTTCAGTTTCAGAAGTACCTCTGATCTCGTTCCACATTTTATTGTGCGTCATGTAACGTGGGGAACTGGTCTTGGTTTATAGTCTTGACTCGGTCTCTCCCTCCCTCGGTCTTGGTCTCAGCCCCTAAAAGTCTTGGTCTTGATAAACTCTGGTCTTGGTCTTGACTTGGTCTCGGTTTGGGCGGTCTTGACTACAACACAACTAATCCGCCTAGCAGGGACTTTTTTGTGGGGTAAAATAAAGACGCTAGAACTTCATGTAGACCCTGATCTGTGTGGTGGGAACACAGTGAGTTCCTCCACAGGTTCCTAGTTCTGGGGAGGAAGATGTGCCAATATACAGAACAATTCGCATTGATTGAAGGCATGAGGGTCGATATTAGGGGTGCGACGAGATCACGTACGACTTTTAAATAGTTTGCGCGGTAGCATTTTGGGTACCCGGTGTAAACAATAAACGGCGACGGAGAGACACAAACAATAGATCAACAACATTTCAACGGACTTTCAGTCAAATAAAAGACCATTTCTCCAGTGGTATATTTCGTCAGTGTTAAAATATCTTCAGAAAGAAAACAAAGCGTCCTTCCCAAAATGTTGAACCATAATGTTTCATAATAAAAGCCTTTATTCAGGGTTAATTTGACTTTGTCAGAATTCAGCAGCTTAGAGTGAGGAGACACAATGAACATAAAGCACAGCTCAGGAGAATTTATCTTTTAGTTTACTTCTACTTTGCTTGAAATATGAGTAAAATGCTTCTATGACAAGATATATGTAACCTCTAACCCTGAAGAAAACATGAATCCTCTTAAAAACTACAGAAAGAAAACGCTCCTCCTAACTTCCCAGAGAGTCTTCATGTTTTCTTCAGAGTCACAGTGATCCAGTGATGGCGGCCTGTACATCAATAGTTCACTGCAAACAGTGATTTCAGCTACTTTTACTGGGTACAGGTGAACAAAATGGGGCTCAAGTCGTAGCTCACAGCTAACCCAGTGAATCATGGCAACATTATACTTCTTGCTTGCATCACTGATTACTGCTGATGTTCCTGTTCTCCAGATTTGAATGGCTCCACTAAGAACTGGAAACCTTCCCTCAAACAAAGCACATTGATCAGCAGTGTGAACAGCTTGTCGGGCTGCTGCAGTGTTCACATTTCACACCAAAAACACAACAGCTCTGTGTTCAGGCCGGCGGCCAACCAGAGCTCTGGTTGTTGCAGAGAGGAAGCGACCTCTGGCCTCCGTCCAGTCACATTTGGCGTAAAGAGTCTTCTTCTCAGACAGAGGTGAGTGAACACAACCTCCTGGCAAGCAGAGCAGGAGAAGCTTCCAGCAGCCGTCACTGAACATCAGATCTCAACAGCTCAACCTCTCCTTACTTGCTTTTTGCACAGCTCTGCTCCACATCGCACACGACTTTGATGGCTCACATCACGGTATCCCTTCGGCCCTTCGACCCCTGGTAGAATTCTTCCTTCTCCGTGCTTTTGTCTGGGAAGCTGCCTGGATATCTCGACACAACGGAGCCACAGCCGAAGCCCTGGATACAACCTGTTCCACATGTGCTGATGGTACCACAAACAGTAACCAGTGTACATTGTGTTTCTCAGGGCTTGTCTAGGTGGACCCCCAAACCATGCCAGGCCATTTGGAAACTCCAAAATGACACTAGTAATAATATGAGTCATCAGAGCTATAAAATACCAAATACTTTTATAATTAGTCAACAAATCTGCATCAACTACTCACAAAACTAAATGCAGCTGGCTAAAAATCTGACAGGCAACCACATCGACTGGCCGGCTGTGCACACACAGGAAGTTAGGTTATTTGCTGTTGCTCGTATTGAAGGCATTGATTTGATGAGGCAGTAAGTCGGACTCTTTCCAGGTGAGGATTGGCCTTCGCCAGGGCTGCGCTTTGTCATCAATCCTGTTTGTGATATTCACGGACAGGATATCGAGGCGTAGTCGTGGCGAGGAGGGACTGCGGTTCGGTGGGCTTGGGATATCGTTACTGCTTTTTGCGGATGATGTGGTCCTGATGGCATCATCGGTCCGTGACCTTCAGCTCTCACTGGATCGGTTCGCAGCAGAGTGCGAAGCGGTTGGGATGAGGATTAGCACCTCTAAATCTGAGGCCATGGATCTCAGCAAGAAACCGGAGGAGTCCCAACTGGATGAAGATGGATGGATGACTGGCCAGTAGTAGTTTCAGATGTTAAAAAGAGGGCTTGTTAGCTTACTGAACCCCTTATCAGCTCCAGCCTGCGATACTAACAGCAAGATCACAACAACGTCTTGGTGAACTAGAAAGTGATCCAACTGTCCGTGGGCGAGTCATTTAACCTGACGCACAAATAGGACTGGGCATCGAGAACAGGTTTCAACATTTCAAATTTCATTTGGTTTTGTGTCCGATCATTGGTTCAAAATTTAACACGTGCAAGTTTTGTTTTCTGTAGCGGCCACCTCATTTCCAGGCACTTGTTCTGTTGCAGCTGTGCAGCACAGTAAGCCAAAGAGTCTTTAAACAAATCAACAAGGAGTGTACCGTGTTCGCCGTGCTGCTGCCTGTCCTGCCTCGTCCTCCTCGGACAACCCTGAGCTAACTAGAACCTCGTCCCAATCAGGTAAGTGAAGTTGTAGTGAAACAAGTTTCTAGACCGAATTGCAAAAATTGTGGTGAACAAATGTATTTTCTTGTACATAAATGGACGCAAATTGCTAACGCTAGTAGCCGACCTCAAGGTGTGTTCGAAATGGGTAAAAATCTTCTTTGAGCTCTAAGAGGCCTCCAAACTGCCCCTGTAACGTTCAGTTTTGAAGGCAGTATTGACGTTGACTCCATGCTGTCCATTAACCATAAATCTGTGCGCCTGCGGTAGCTCACAAAGAACTGACAAGATGACAAAGTTTTTTGTCGTTTTTTTGCTTTGATTTCTGAAAAGTTAGGGAGAACTAAACACTGTAGTCTTATTAGCCCTCGACTGTAACCAACCGAAGTTTGTTTGGAATGATTTCTGAGGCGTCTGTCGGCCATTTGTTTTCCCAATAGCTAGCAAGCTGACGATAAGGCTTGTGACTGACAGAAGAGAAGCAAGACGACGTGCTGACGTCACACGCTGCGGTGAGTGCTGCTCTAAAAGGCTCTTTGAAACAAACCGTCTCAGAAGATGTCTTCCCTCAAAGGTTCTGTCTCTTACGGCAGCGAGGCAGCTGCCTTCTGTTTCGAACAGGGCCTCAGCGTGAAACTCCATTCCCCTTAGCTGAGAGTCGGAACAAAGAATCGTTCAGAACCAGAATCGAAAGCAAATATCGGAATTGTTAAAATCAAAACTATGCCCAACCCAACGCAAAAATCATATCTGGAATAGTGTTGTATGTTGTTTGTTTCTCCATTTACAGAGCCAGCACTGAGTACAAACACCGGATTGTCTGTCAGCGCGCTCACAGAACAGACAGCTAGCGGACGTGAGGAGATAATTGCTGAATTTGACAAACTTC